ACATAGCACCCCCTCTCCATTCACCAAGGACAAGAATACAGAGCCACTGGGGAAGAAGTACATGTACAGCATGTATTAAAATGTCATATGGTGTACTTTTCTTTCATTTCACACTAAATAATTTGTATGTAACAAGCTGCTAGTTGATCCCCCGACCGCCCAAAAGTTGAGGAGCATCTTCATCTAGAAGGTGTATAATCTCCTTGCTTGAGGATTTTTAGTACCAGAGAGATGACTGCTCCCTAGGATGTAAATCAAGGAAAGTCATCAGGTCTGCTGCATGCCAAGTGTCTTACATGACACTGCAGACACTGGCTTTCAGTGATGTAAAGTGCTTAGTCTTGTCACCAGTCTTGTCAATCATAGAATCAAAATGCAAGATTGTTTTTCTTATATTTTTCCTCTTCTCAGGCATCACGGTGCTTTATTTCCCCTTCTCTTAATGTCTCGACGAAGTCCACTTGTTATTATACATATAGATCTGTGAGCCTCATTGGCCTTTTCTGGGACCATTAAGCCCAACAAATTCTGCTTCCCTGATTTATAAAAAAGTATGTGAATGAAAAGATCAAAAGAATTTTCTTTTTTTCTGTGGGCCATAAAAGATACTTCCCTTTTTACTCACTCAATAATTTTGCTCTGTCTGGTCATCTGGAGGGATGCGGTTCCAGAAAGAACAGTAACCCAACAAGATAATCAGAGCCCACAAACTAATACCCTTTATGTAGGCTTTTTTACCCTTTCAGGATGACACCTCTCAGGACACCATAGATACCAAGACAAGCAAGGGCAGAGATGGCACACAGGAGGTCTCCCTTTATATCTACCATCTGCTAGAAATCACCCCTCCTGACACGTCTCATATCTCATTGTTCAGAATGGGGTCCCTTGTGCACCCCTAATTTGGTGAAGGAAGCTTGGAAATTGAATATGTGGCCAAAAGTAACAAAATCAACCATATTTCTTTAAGATCATGATGGTCAGTTCGCAAAGAGGTTGGAAAAGAAGCAGAGAATGACAGTTGCCCGGTCAGCATTCCTCGGCTCATCTCAAGGCTATGTGTAATCTACTGAAAGCTGATGTCACCTTCAAACTACAACGATTGGACCCCATGATTTGAACATAAAATAAGAAAAAAAGCCTTCTAGACATGTGATTTCTAATGACTTTCATGGGCTAGTCAGCCTGTAGGATGGCTTAGAAAGATAATTTAGTGAATAGTAATTCACATTAGCATATTAAAATAGCCAGTAAACCTGTAGTAAAGGTACAGTAACTGCAAAAAAAAAATCTAGTGCATTGTTTTTCAAATGCATTTATTGTATTTTACTTAGTTAATTTATAGACTCTATTCTTTTGTGTGACTGCCATGGAACACATTCTCTTCTTGCTAGCTCAGATTGTGGATATGCCATTTTGTTTGAGAACTTGGTACTTTCTAGCAAAGACTACCTATATTATTTATAGCTCCCCTAACTGCTCATATTGATGTCCATCAAAATTGAAACATTTTATTTTCTTTCTCTCTGAGCAAAGTATATATCAGAAATGAGTAATCAATTGCATCTCTCAGTCAACAAAGATCTGAGAGAAATATGATTTTAGCCACACAAAGGTAAAGTAAAATATCAATTCAAAATTATAGAACTATATAATGGACCATGTAAATACCAGCCGGTGAGAAATGGATGCTACTGCCTTGAGATTTCAATTTAAAAAGCAGAGATAGTAAATTTGTTCATTAATTTTAGTGAATGGTTTCTTACAACTTTTCTTAAATACTTATTCTGCAAACAGTTTTCATGAAGAGAAAATGCCCAGTGATAGAGCCTCAAAGATTGAAAAGTTCTGATACTGCCACATTTCCCACCTCTGCCAACCCACTGTCACCCTCCCCAACTCTCATTTTTACCCCCTAGGGTTGGCAATCCCTATGTGAGTTGAAGTCTAGGAACCAGGGAGGGGATTTCATCCTTCCCTAGGGCTACTGGTCTCAATTCCAACATCATACCTTGATGCCTCATTAGGACCATTTGCAACTTGAGAGGAGAGAAAGATCACAGTCAGTCAGTCAAACTGTTACAGGATCTTTTCATACAAAAACCATGCCAAAATCTCAATATGAAACATGTCCTTGGGGAGAATAATATCGACTGTTCTTTGCTCAGTAACAATTTGACATACAGTGAGTCCCTGACTTACAAATGAATTCCATTCTGAGAGAACATGTGTAAGTCAGATTCATTCATTAAGTCTGATAAACCAAGTTTTATATACCTTTGACACAAATAATACAGTGTGAAGCATAAAAAATCCAAACACACAAAAGTAGCGTTAAGACCCTGACTGTACTGCACTACTCTATACTACTGTACTACACAACAAAGCACACAGTAGCACAGCAGTGATGATGTCTAGCAGACATGTGAGCTACTTTTGGGATTCATCCCCTCTATGAATATAATGTGAGGCCCCCTCATATCTGTGAAAGTCTGCAACTCAAATATTCGTAAGTTGGGGCTTATTGTACACTCAGGGATTATAACTGTTCATCTTGACTCAAACTTTTCCTGCAAATATTAAAACTCTCTATCTCACCACCTGTCAAGGAGGCAATATTCCAGAGCCTAGCTACATTTCCAAGATCCAGCTATTAGGAACTGGGCCAATGTAAACATAGGTGCGCACATATCACTGTGGTATGACACTTTCAATTCTTTTGGGAAAATACCAAGAAGAGGAATAGCTCTAGATTTAGTTCTTTGAGAAATCACCACACTGATTTCCACAATGGCTTCACCAATCTATACTCTCACCAACAGCAGAGAAGCATTTTTCCCCACAGCCCCACCTGCATGTTATTGTTTGATTTCTTGATAACTGCCATTCTTTCTGGAGTGAGGTGGAATCTCAGCATTGTTTTAATTTGCACTCTCAAATGATCTCTGAGGTTAAGCATTTTTTCATATGTTTATTTGTTGTTTGTATTTCTTCATCTGAGAAGTGTCTTCATTTCAGATGTCCATTTTTGGATTGGGTCTTTAAATTTGGAGAGTCTGATTAAAAAAATTTTTTTTAAGAATACAAAAAATTTATTGAGGGAAAGAAAGCTTCTGTCTGAGAGACAGAAGGGGGATCAGAAAGTGGGTTGCCCATCCACCCTGCTTCTCAAAGATGTCTTATATGGCAAAGCCATGTGGTGAGGCAGGTGCTAAGTGGAACAAAACTGCAAGACCCAATGGAAAATTATAAGGTAGGCATCAGGTGGGGCAAAACCATGAACAATCAGTAAGATTACAAGTATAGTCACCCAGGTAATATTGATTACATGGGGGTCAAATGGGGGAGCAAGTCATGTAACAAGCATTCGAGGATTTAGAGTAAGGGAGGGTGTCAGGGACATTTCCTAGAGAGGCTGGGTTAAGACCTTGGCCCCCCACCCAGATGACTGAAACCTATTTAGAATATCAATCACTGCTATTTATCCCCAAGGGAAGGAAGCACAAGGGTGTAATAGTTTCTGTCCTTTTACAATTCTGGCCTTCAGTGAATGTGTCTTGATTGTCCTCCATGTTGGCTCCTCCTGGGCTGACCCGGGCTAACTGCCTACAAAATATCTAATTAACTTTCCTATCTGCAATATTCCCCTCTGAAGAAGTACCCCTAACTGCTGTGTGGGGTGGAGGCAAAAGACAAAGATGCGTTCTGGCTACTTCAGCTGAAGAGGGGCATAGTTGTGACCAGCAGTTAAGCGTTACTTTAGAGAGGGTCTGTCTAACGGCCATTAATAAGCACCAGGCACTGTCATCTTGGCAGCCATATAGCTTTGAGTCTGGAGGAGACAAAGCCACAGAAACAGTTAAGAATACATGGGCCAAATTATAAGGGACTGCTATGAATATAGCCAATATTCTAGGTACTAGTCCTGTCAGAGGAACAGCCAGAAAAAAAATTTTTCACCCACTTTGTAGGATGTCTCTTCACTCTGTTGGTGATTTCCTTTGCTGTAAAAAAGCCTCTTAATAAGAGGAGATTCCAGCTGTTGGTGGTGTGTACTATTTCCTGTGCAATCAGGGTTTTGTTCACAAAGTCTTTGCTTACACCTATGTATTCAGCAGTTCTACTTATTCTGTCTTCTAGCAGATTTAGTGTTTCTGTTTTAACCTTTAGATCCTTGACCCATTTTGATTTTAGTTTAGTGCATGGGGAGAGATATAGATCTAGTTTTAATCTTTCACATGTGGAAAGCCAATTTTTCCAGAACCATTTATTAAGGAGATTATCTTTCTTCCAGCGAAGGTGTTTGGCCCCTTTGTCAAAGATGAGGTGGCTGCGTGTGTTTGGAGTTGTTTCTGCATCTTCTCATATATTCCACTGATCCTCACGTTGGTTTATTTTGTTTGTTTTGAAGGTTTTGGGTTGTTTTGTGTGTGTTTTTGCCAGTATCTTGCTGTTTCTGTCATGGTAGCTTTGTAGCATAATTGTGATGACCCCTGCCTTACCTTGGTTGCTTAGAATTGCTTTTGCTATTCTAGGTCTCAGTTAAATTTTTAACTGGACTCTTGGCTTCCAGGAAAGACTGGCCCCCTTAAACAGCAAGATATTTGAAAAGAAATATCTTATTACATAAAAAATGTTTTGCTGGTGTTTTTGAAGTATCTCTTCTCTGCAGAGCTCAGAATTTCCCCTCTGTTGAGAGTAGTTTGAAGTTGCAGCCTGAGGCGCTCTCTGAGGGAAAGACATACTTGCAGATACAATGGTTCTAAGCGCCTGGAGTGGTTAAACTGCATTTAGAAATCAGTAGGGGAAGGCTACACTTGAGCTTCCCAATCTACAGCAAAGCATGACTGCTTAAATGTACTCATTTTTCAGGGTGTACTCATTTAGTGTCTGCTGTCAGGCAGTGTTGCGGGGCAGGAATTGGACCTAGTGGTCTGGGGGGAACTTCAGATATCACAGTTGGAGTATAAATCAGGAGCTACCCTCCCACCCCCACCTACCTGTTTCTACTCCTCTCTTTTTCACCCTGTTTTCCAGTTCCCTCAGTGGCCTCCTTTTCTCTGGTCTCTCAATGAGGAAGAGTACCGAGATCCCTGAAGATAAATCATGTGAATCTGTGAGAGACACAATAAAATTGTGAGGAAGACTAGCAGCTGTGATGGGGTAGACAGTTTGGGGTGGAGTGGTGTGCTAGACCTTGGTCTAGAAAGAGGGACAGAGAGATGGGAGGGTGAGAGGGAGGGAGGGAGACAGGAATAGGGATTCAGATATGTGAAATCATAAATTATAAATATGGCTAAACATTAAGTATATTTTAAGAGCCATAATTCTTTACTGGAGAAATGAAATGCGAATAGAACAAACTGTCACTTAATTGCAGTGAGTGCCTGGCTCAACTCCTAAACTGAGGCTCAAGAAACGGAAAGACAAGTTTAGAAATGAGACACTCCATAGAGGACATATGGGGGTCATGACAGTTTCTGAAGCTGATGTAGCAGAAACTGAAAACAAAAAGTTGATGTAGCAGAGCCAGTTACTGTGCCTCCAGCCACACTTGGGTCAGAACCAGAGGTGGACCTCTGGATCAAAAGGCCAGAGGAGGGGCTAATGATCCACAGGGGAGTAAGCGGGTGTAGAGTAAGGATCGAAAAACTTTTTTTAGGGGCCCTTTAGTCACTGTTTTAGCTCTGTGGACCATGAAATGGTCCCTTCTGGGATTGCTCAGCTCTCCTTTTGGAGTGCTGAAGGAGCATGAACTGGATGTGGATGTGTTCAAATAAAACTTTACTTACAAATATAAGCTGTGGGCCAGATTTGGCTTAGAGCATTAATTTTCTAGCCCCTGACCTAGTGAAAGATCACACAGGCCTACCTGGGAGGCAAGAAATCGAGCTTTGTCACTTCCTCACTATGCGTATCGTATTTTCAAAGAAAAGTAATGAAAACAGTTTCATCTCTCTGGATTGTAGTGAGGACTCCTGACATCACAGTTGTGGCAATTTTTTGAGAGGATTTTAAAAACTAGACAGAATCCAAAAACGATAACACTCTGGAATTAAAGTGTAAGAGTTTACAATGAATGGGGAAAACTTCAGGATTTTCATATGCCTGCTAAAATTACAGGCACATTTCCTGTCCTCCGTTCCCTCCATTCCCTTACTCTCTTTTCTTGCCTCTGGTAGCCTGGATTTAGTTCAAAATACAGAACCCCCTGTTCCCAAGAAGCCCACCCCCCTACCCCAAAGGGAAGCACACTTTCCTATGACTCCTGTTTGAGAACTGAAAGAGAGGTAGAGCTCCTTTCTTTCGAAGGCTGCCGCCCCCATTGCAAAGAGCATGCTTTTTCCCTTCTTTGATTGCAACTGTTAGCCTGGAGGGGTCAAGCTGCAGTAGAATCAGTGGCGCAGTAACAGTTGAAGGAGAAGCTTCTTCAAACCATGTTTGCTTCTGTAGCTCCTAGGGAACACTCAGGGGTCCACTATGCCTTGGAGGCCAAGTTAGATGTAGCTTCTTCTACTCCCCCAGTGAGCATCTGCATTTTAAACAAGGAATCTTCTGTTTCAGGAGAGGTACGTGGATTTATTTGAAAGGCTCAGCACTTCTTTGGACCTTCTGCTTAAGCACTTTGCCTCTGATGGGAAGGAAGACAATGAAAGCGATTATATTTGACCTAAGGACAAACTGTCCTCCAGCAGATTAATGGATAAACTAATTGTAGTATATTCACAGGATGGGATAATGCTCAGCTAAAGGGAATAAATTATTTGTTCAGGCAATAGCATAGATAGACCACAAGTGTTTTGCTAAGGAAAAGAAGTCAGACCAAAAAGAGCACATGTTTCTTCGTTGTATTTACATGACATTACAGAAAGGAAAGTCAATGAGATGAAAACTGACCAGCAGTTGCCAAGTGTTGAAGCCAAGAAAAGGACCTGACTGCAAAGTAGCAGCAGAGAAGAAATGTAGGTGATAATGTTTTCAAAAGTATGGATGCTGGCTGCCTGACTAAAGTCATTTATCAAAATCATATATCAGAACATCGCACATAGCATAAATTTTTAGAAGGACAACCAGAAGATTGAAAAACCTCAGGAAAGTTTGCGTATTGTGATGGACTGATTTAATTACATTACATATCTGATATAATCTTCAATCTCTGGAGGGGATGAAGGGGAAAGAACAGATGTAAGTAACTCTAGGAAACAGTATTGTAGGCTGTTTCCTATAAGCTCATGACAAAGATTAAAACACTATACCCTCACTGGTAATTTTATCACAGGGGAAAGGGCTAGCAATTCTTAAAGCACTCTACATATATAGGAGGACAGGAAAAAAAAATAGTAGGTAATACAAGCCAGTGTTTCAAGGTCAGGAGAATAAAGTTACAAATAAGCAAGAACTGAAGGTTAGAATGAACCCTATGTGCTGGAGGATTCAGCGGTACCTCCAAGAGAAAACATAGCTCCCCACTGCCTAAATGTGGGCTGTGCATAGAGACTTCCTTACAGAGAATATAATTTGGAATGGGGAGAGGCAGGTAGTGTTACAGAGGAGAAAACTGACAAACATTTTCTCAGCAAGGCAAGCAAGATTAATGTCAACAATCGTAATTCATTAAAAGCAGGTTTTACTTCTAATGTCTTCTGCACACTACCCATAAATCCACAATCATGAAAACATCAGGTAAATCCTAATTGAGAGCCACCTTATCAGTACTGATACCTGATTAGTACTCTTCCAGAGATTCAATGTCTCAGAAGAAATGTGAACCAAAGAAAACTGGCACTGTCACAAGCACTTTAAGAAGATACAGAAACAAGAAGCGACTTGGTGTCTTGAATGAAATCCTAGAACAGAAAAGATGCAATGGGTAAGTGTCAATGATAACTAAATAATACAGTATGGGCTTTAATAACAACTTATAAACATTGCTTCATTTAACATGAAAACTGTACCAACTTGCAATGTTGGTACCAGGAGCTACTGAGCGTAGGATGGAGAACTCTCTGTCCCTCTGTATCTTCCCAATTCTTTTAAAAATTAGAAATTCCTTTAAGACAAAAGTTATTCTTAAAAATCCACAGTTCAGAGGCCGGATGTGGTGGTGCATGCCTGTAATCCCAGCACTCAGGAGGCTGATACTGGAGGATCACTGTGAGTTAGAGACCAGCCTGGGCTACGTAGTGAATTCCTGGTCAATCTCAACTATACAGTGAGACCCTGCCTCAAAAAACCAAAAAAAGAAA